TCAGAGGGAGAAGCAGACTCCCCGCCGAGCAGGGAGCCCGACGCGGGACTCGATCCCGGGACTCCAGGATCATGACCTGAGCCGAAGGCAGTCGCTTAACCGACTGAGCCACCCAGGCGCCCGAAAGGCTGACATTCTTATCCTAGAATAATGGTGGGGCCAGTTCTTTAGGAAATCCATTTGCACAGTAAATGAATGCCTTACTTTGGACCAACAGACTGTTCCTGATGGGGAGGGGCAAGTACATCAAATCACATACAAAATGCATTGGTTTTTTTTTTTTTTAATTATCAGGTAAATTGAACTTAAATGTTTTTATAAGTTCCAATGTTTTTATAATGATCTTTCTTTAAAAGGAGCATAGACATACTTTAACTAGAAAACAAGAAACAAGCAAAAACTTAACTTCCTACCATTTACTCTTAATAATTAAGGGTTTAAGGCTGCCTCTGAAAGCCAATGCATGGTAAGCAGAAAGCACCTCTGCCATATGGCTTCTTTCACAAAACTGACCTGGAGATTAAAGCCACAGACAGAATACAGGCTCTGTAACTATGTTTGGATACTGACACCAACACTTTTATTTAATCTACCTGAGTCACAAAAAAGTTGTGACTGCCATATGCATCATGTCTAAAACACAGGTTTTAAAGGCTCACTTCTTCCAAATAAAATTTTTAGAACTTGCATACAAATGAGTTTTTTTTTTTTAAAGCAACCATTTTAAATCCCAAATGAGTACTGTCTTCCAAGAATACTGCTATTGTTCAAATATCTGAACTCCTCTTCCAGACTTCCTCTAGATCTGGTTTTAAGATGTGTAAGAAAAGCAGTTTCATTTACTTCATAATGAGTTGCTTCTTGTTTCTAAGAAAAAATATATAATCCGGCTGCATCTTCCTCCTTACACATCACACTAGCCTGGCAGATTTTTGGCTGTTATGAAAATTTGAAGCCATTTTCCAGGGACAGATCTGTCACCACTGATAAAGTTTAAAAGTCTATACTGCAAGTTCTGAAGGCAATTCCAGAAGAGGAACTTTGGGTACGCCCATCCCAAGAGGCTGCTGGACAGGAGGGACAGGAGTCTCTGGATACATGTGCTCTGGCATGTTTAAAAAAACATTTCCCCCCACTGCCAATATTTATGATCAAATATTTTATATGTGCTATTTTCACATTTATAGTCTACAAGTATTTTGTGGGCTCTTATAAATATATCAGAAGTAATCCAGACACAAACCCTGGTCATGATGTAGTTGTGTAAGCTGTTCACAAAGTGCATGAGCTTTACTCTCAAGAGGAACATACGATGAATCTGCTGTCTTATTGGTTCCTTTTGCGGTCCAAACTGAGCAGTTGTGTCTTGTTCACATAAAAGTCCTTCTCTGAGTTGTGGTTTTCCAGCAGTATTAGCTAGTTCTGTATAAGATTGAAAGAGCAGAGTCGGTGGGAAGAACATCTACTCAAATCCCACCTGTGCCACTGTACAGGGGTGGGACTTCTGATGTGGTTATCAACCTGCAAAGGTCACTCTACAGGAGGCACATTAGGGACCCTGCCTTCAGTGTCTCTGGAAGGTAAAGCAGTGAAAAGTTCCCCTTATCACCATCATTAAAACATAAATGCCAAGTCCAAATACTTTGTCATGAAATTTTTTTTTTGCATAATTTAAGAATATTTATTCTGGCTAAATTCCTCATCAAGCTGTTATATTTCAGACTGACTGCAGTACAATTCCCTGGTATTTCATTCAGGGAAGTTAATTTTGACAACTGTAAAACTTTTGCTATAAATACTTGTTATTTGGGCACTTGTGTATACATAAAAATGACCAAAGATCAGCCACTTCTTTAGTTCAGGGCTAAAATTCAATTATAATTTATCTGTTGAAAACAAATCTTACCACCAAATAGTAAAACATCCAGACTATATTTTGCCCACTTTATTTGCAATAAGAGAAGGAACACCTGATTATAAATTTTTTGACATTCCAAACTTATAACAATATCCACAGGCCATGGGATCTATGAAAACAAAAATAGAAAATTAGAGTAGAAAGTAACCTACGTATTACTTGCATTTTGTAATTTTAATAGAAAATAATGTTCTTAAAAAATGTATCAGCACATACCTTATAGCTCAGGGTCAGACCATCTAAGATATGAACAGGGAGTTTCTTCTTGGTTGTGTCAACACTTTCATAAGATATAGACAGACTAGATAAAGAAATTTCAGTTTTAGTTTGTGAAAGTACTATGCTCAAATAAAAATACTCTTTAAAAAACCATTAGCATTTTAACATTTACATCATATTTTAAAGAAGACATATTTCATAAAGGGAATGCAAATATTTCGATAAAGGTTTTGTAGCATATATTCCAGAATAGGAATTTGGTTTTACAAGTAAGAGGGTAAAGTTTTTAAATAATGGGTTTAGCTATGAAAGAAAAGAGACACTTATATGTAGTAAGTTAGAAAAAAAGTAGAAGCCAGGGAAGAAGATATAATGGTAATAGGCTGGCTGCTTAATTCTGATAAAATTCAGGCAACAGGCTCAGAAGATAGACCCTCTGCTGAGGGCAGTGGAGGGAGACTGCTCTCTTTGCCCTGGAGAGTGTGTGTGCAAGTCCATCAATAGCAGTGGGGTCTGCTTCTAAAGCAAAGGTATATACACACTGCTTCACCCACTCTTTCTTAACACTGGTTTGAATGTGACTCTCAATAGAAAGAAGCAACAAATGTGCATGGAAATGTTCTTGCACCAGGCACCACATGGACACTTAACTGCCCTTACTCATTTAACCCTCAGAGTAGTCCTGTCAGTGGACTGGGAAATGATGTAACTCTCCCACAAACACAGAGGCATCAAGTGATGAAACCAGGATGCAGACCATGTAAGGTTTAAGTGTAACACAGAGGTGGGGACGCAGCCTTACAACCAGAGATGGAAAGCAGTGTATGACTTATAAATTAGCCAATTCATTCCATGTCACAGGCATTAGTCAGAATTTTTTTTTAGCCTGTAAATTATCTGCATCCACTGAGTACTTAGCAGGCACTTACTGAATACCTTATTTGTCAGTCATCATGCCAAGCAGGTGAAAGAAAGTCAATCACTTCTCCCCGTCTAGGGGCTCATAGCCCAGAGAAAATCCCAGAGCAGACACAAGGTGCTGCACTAATCCAGGCCAAGCAGGACTTTGTAGGAGAGCAGACCACTGCCAGGCCATGCAAATGGAAGAGCACCTAACTGGAGGAAGCTATGAAGCAGGGAGAGTACAGCTCTTCAGCAAACCAGAAATATTCCAAATTCCTGAAATGGAAAGTGTGGTAGGAGAGAGAACATTATGTGTCTGTATGTGTACACGTACTAGAATTGAGGCTGGGAAATGAACCAGATAGTAAAACTTGCCCTCTCATGAGAAGGAGCTCAGCCCATCTGTTATGAGGAGCCAATGAGAAGCCTGAACACAACTGGTGGAGGGAGTTGCTGATATCACTGTAGTCACTCTGGTGGCCCTGTCGGGGTCCAATGGAAGGGAGTGAAGCTGAGACACAGAGACAGTCAGGAGGTGTCAGAGAGGAGCTCTTGGGTGAGCACTGAGAGGTAAGGGGAAACGTTATCTAGGAGGCAGAACTGAACAACCAGGGAGGTGTAGGAGCTAGGACAGAGGAAGGAATCTAGGATGAGCCACACTGCCTCTGGGTGCCAGGATGAACAATGGTGCTCAACTAGAAGAGACAAAAGATTGTTTGGGATGAGACAATGAGCTCAGTTTTGGATACATGACATTTGAGTGTAGTTACAAGCTGCTGGCTATGTAGGCACCTAGGCTAAAGGTACTGATCTGCAGGTCACTGAAGCCATTAACAGGGACTGGAACTGTCCGAGGCAGGAGTGCTGACTGAGGCAGTAGAGCGAGAAGCTGTGCCAAAGGCAGGTGGGAAGCAAGAGGCCCACAGAGAGATTACAGAAAGAGTAGCAGGGATATGGGAGGGTTGTTAAGGCAGGGATACTGGTCAGGGCAAGGGAGCAGCACTGGCACTGATGCTGGAATTGAGAGGGAGACTCGAGGGCCAGACTCAGAAAGCCTGAGGAGGCAGACAGCTGCTTAGAACATATGGAAGCCACAGCAGAAGGGGTCCCTGGGGGTGGCTCATTTCTCCTGAATTAATCTATGAATAGAATGCAATCTCAATAAAAATACCATCAAAGTTTTTGTTTTGGTGGAGCTAGACAAGTTGACAATAAAGTACATTTGGACAAATAAACAAGAATAGCCAGGAAAGCCCTATTATTAAAACAGGATGTTACTAGCACATGAATAAACAGAACAGGGAAATAGAATGGAAAATCTAGAAAGATACTCAAGTACATATGAAAACTTAATGATAAAGGGGTATGTCAAATAAATGCAGGAAAGATGGATTGTTTTTTTAAAGAAGTAAGTGATGGAAACCAATTAGTCATTTGGAAAAAGATAAAACTAGATCTATTTCTTTTTTAGCTGGATAAGTTCCAAATAGATCAATATCTATATGTAAAAATACCTATTCAAGTATTAGGATAAAAGATGGGTGAATTTCTTTGTAACCTGGGAAAAAGTAAAACTTTCTTAACTCAAAATCTAAAAGTAGTAAGAGAAAAGATTGATAAATTGTAAAACTAAAAAAATCTACATGACAAAACAACAAAAAATTATTATACCATAAGCAGAATGAAAAGACAAATGTCGAATTGGGAAATGTATATAATATAAATAGCTTCTAAAAATGGAGAATAAGAGACCAATAATCTGATACTAACAGAAATGGTGGCAAAATATATGGATAGTTCACAATAAAAAATTTCAAAAATAAACATATGGAAAGATGATAAAGCTCACTCATAATTAGAAAAATGTAAATGAAAACTATACTGAGATACTGTTTCTCATCAGACTGGCAAAATTCCAAAAGTCCGACAACATATTCCATTGGTGAGGCTGTGGAGGAAGCCACTCTACACATTGCTGGTGGGAATCAGAAAGAATACAGGCCATATGAAGAGAAATTTGGGAACAGCTAGCAGAATTACACATACATTTACCTTTTTACCCAGCAATCCCATTATAGGAATATATTCCAAAATTACACTGGCAAAAATATGAAGTGAGAGGTACAAGACTAGTTAGTCATTGCAGATATGTATGGCAGAAGAACAGAAACCCAAATGCCCACCAAAAGGACAACTTATTGAAAGAATACAGTGGAAAGCCAGTCAACTGTAAAGGAGTAAGGACCAGCTCTCTAGTTTATAAATGGAGTGGGTGTGAGATACATTAGTAACATAAGAAAAATAAACCAAATGCCAGAGTAGGCAATGCATGCTACCTTTTGTACAACATGCAACGGTTGCCTAAAGGAAAGGGAGCAGGAACAGAAGACAGATCTCCCTAGAAGTACCACTGTACCATTGATTTTAACTTAAGAAATATACAGCTGTTTATATAATTAAGAAACAAACTTGAATCAAGAAAAAAAAAGCAGTTCCTAAAAGTAGAAAACTAAAAAAAATGAACTTGACCCTATATTAAGTTGGTGGCATAATCACATTGAGGATTATTCCAAGTGACTTTGAAATAGAGTATTCTGATGATTTGATAGTATAGGAAGAGAAAACAATCACAAACAGTAATTTAAACTCTCTGGGCTTGTTGCTATTATTGTCACTTTGGAACTACTATTTATTTATTTATTTATTAAAGATTTTATTTATTTATTTGACAGATAGATAGCACAAGTAGGCAGAGAGGCAGGCAGAGGGAGAGGGAGAAGCAGACTCCCCACTGAGCAGGGAGCCCGACATGGGGCTCGATCCCAGGATTCCAGGATCATGACCTGAGCTGAAGGCAGCCGCTTAACCAACTGAGCCACCCAGGCGCCCCTGGAACTACTATTTATTATAGAATAAAAAAACCATTAGTCATGTCAGTCTGTTAATAAGCACTCAAGAGAAGAAATACAAAGGAAAATCAGAGAAGTGAAAACTAATCTTTAATATAAATTGGAAATATCAATATGAAATTCTGATTTATTCTTCCTACATATTTCATTTCTCTGTCCACTGAGAAAGCCCAGAAGTACTGACAATCCAATACTGATGAATACTCTGGCACGCAGATAAAGGGCTTTTTAAGTCACCAAATACATGGGACCAGTCCTCCTGGGAAAGGTGCACAAGCCTAAAGCAGGAGGTGCACAGGACAAGCCTGTACATCTGAGTAGTCCTGAAAGTAAGGACACTCTCTGAGATTACTAGGGTCATAGGAAGTGGTACCCTCTGGGTAAAAATGCGAGTCTGAGCAATAAAAAAAAGAAAAATCGTAATAGAGCATGACATTAAATATTACAAATTCATGAATTTCTGCTGGTGGTGAAAAACAACTTTCCCTGGCTCCCTCCTGGGGTTGCTAGGCACCAATTTCTTCTTATGGAAAGAACCCAGCTGTTACTCTGCTTTTACTAATCACATAATTGATAAAAATTCTGTTTTTATGGAGGAATTAAAGGTAATAAAAAAAATGACATAAAAATCAAAGGAATTAAAATAATCTACTAAGTAGTAGCTTGGTAACCTGGCATGCCTGTGAGGAAAAGAATGCTTTGTCTGGCATATCGTGTTCATTATTATGACTACTATTTTTTTTTAAAGATTTATTTGTTAGTTATGTCAGTCACCATACACTACATCATTAGTTGTTGATGCAGTGTTCCATGATTCAGTTTTCGAATAATACCCAGTGCTCATTGCAATATCTGCCCTCCTTAATACCCATCACTGGGATAACCCATCCCCCCACTCCTTTCCCCCACTAAAACCCTCAGTTTGTTTCTCGGAGTCCATAGTCTCTCATAGTTTGTCTCCCACTCCGATTTCCCCCCTTTCATTTTTCCCTTCCTTCTCCTAATGTCCTCCATGCTATTCCTCATGTTCCACAAATAAATGAAACCATATGATAATTGTCTTTCTTTCTTTGACTTATTTCACTTAGCATAATCTCCTCCAGTCCTATCCATGTTGATGCAAATGTTGGGTATTCATCCTTTCTGATGGCTGAGTAATATTCTGTTGTATATATGGACCACCTCTTCTTTATCCATTCGTCTGTAGAAGGGCATCTGGGCTCCTTCCAGTTTGGATATTGTGGAGATTGCTGCTATGGACATTGGGGTGCATATGGCCCTTCTTTTCACTACATCTGTGTCTTTGGGGTAAATACCAAGTAGTGT